ATATAACAGTTAAATTCCTTATGTTATTGTTGTGTATTGCTTATAAGATTATATTCTCATCTGTAAACTGTAAACAAACAACTTAGTATAGTTTTGAGAAAAGTTAAGTAAACTAATGCAAATAATTTTACGATCTGACTTTTGACAAAGTACCACAGTAACCTAATTGCAGTGTGAATGTGTAAAAGTTCACGGAAAGAGATTTACTAGTTACTTTGTTACTAGTAGCAAATTTATAGACTGCTGATGTTATTTCACACAGAAAAATAACTGAACAAAACTGACTGTAATACATGTTATTACTGACACTATGAAGTAATAACAAACTGATTTCCCATGTTCTGCATTACAACTGACAAAGACTGATCAGAGCATACACTTATTTTATTTCATAACACAAATGATCTCAGTACAGTAGCGAGGAAGAATTAGGATGAATCTACAGGTTTAGGAGAAAATATAATACTTTTATCAAGTACAAACACCTACTACTAATGTTACAGTGGCAACTGCAAAGATATAAAGGCAATTAATTTGTTGAACTTCTCTCTGTCTTGTTTGGTATACCACCTTATACACAATTTTCTATTTATAAGAAAATATCTCAGTGCGTGTACAACTGTTGTATGGCACACCAACAAGACTGAAATTACAAAATTTTTAACAACTACACTTAATACTTTACTGTGGCAAACTTAACAAAGTTTGCTGTCCTGGTGGCAGGTATATAACATTTCTTGACCTTGATAACTGGTAGGCAATATCTTCTGCTGCTTCCAGTCTTCGTAACTCAACCAATCCTTCGCCTGCCGATCCAAAAGATTTGGCAAGCAGGGATGCAGCTTCAGTGTCACCTTCTGCAGATATCACTGCAGCACGCTTCTGTTGTTCAGCCTAAATTAATAGAAAAACAAATTAAAATACTATTTACACCAGAACAAATTCTGTAATTACTGAATGCCTAAATAAATAATACAGAAAACACTGGAATATCCTACACACTAACTAGTGATTGCTCTAAAAAATGTGGCAGTATTTCTGTTCCTCTGTTTGGTTTAAAAATATTTTGCACACCTTACTTACAAATTTTTATGTTAGAAATGCAAATTACATGCATACACAAAAAATACTAGTCACACCAATACTATTTAACGTATTAGTCATGTTTAAAAATACTTTTATAATTGCACATTTTGAACATTAAATAACTTCATTATCAAAATTTGAGAAACAAAATCTATCCTAATTCTAGTAAAAAAAAATATCTTACATTGTTAATCAATAAGCATTACTGAATATTATTTACAAAATAGAACAATATTATACAAACGTAAGAGATCAGATGAAGAGAACATTGTAGCACATTTAATTTGAAAGTATTATTCATTTACTTCATTTCCATTTATAATCTGAGATCACAGTTCAGCTCTATCAAAGATATCATGCTTTCCAAAATTTACATATGTTAAAAACATTTAAGTGTTCATAACCTGTACATGCAATTACAATATTATAGTAGAATAAGTTACCTTTTCTACAAGAAAACGTGCCCTCTCAGCCTCTTGCTGAGCCACTTGCTTCAACTCAACAGCATGAGTAAATTCTTTTCCAAATGATAGATGGGTCTGTAATGAATGAGTGGAATTTATTACCTTACATTTTCAATGCTGAACACGCAAATATACAAATTACTTAATAAACCTAATGTTTAACTTTTTTACATAATTTCTACCGTAATTTATCATTAAACATTCACACCTAATATAACGTGATATTTTAGCCTTCCCAATTAAAATATTAGTGGAACTCCTCAAATACCTTGACGTAGAAATTGACTGAGGAGAAAAAATTACAAAAATTAAATCCCACCGAGCTCATGGTGAGATATTTTAGAATATATTGTTTTAGCGGCCTGAAATGTTCTATTAGTACCTGTGACAAATACCATGTGTATGATGATCTATGGGTTTATGAAACTTATTTAATTACCTTGACGTAGAAATTGACTGAGGAGAAAAAATTACAAAAATTAAATCCCACCGAGCTCATGGTGAGATATTTTAGAATATATTGTTTTAGCGGCCTGAAATGTTCTCTTAGTACCTGTGACAAATACCATGTGTATGATGATCTATGGGTTTATGAAACTTGTTTAATTTATATAACAAGTGCCCGTAAGAAAAAATAGAGGTGGGTGAGCTTGTTTTGTCTATTTCTATATAATTTAATTATACAAGGATCAAAGCATGAAGGTAATGAAACAAGGCTTACGATAGAAATGTCGTCCAAAATCAGCCCAAACTGGGCTGCCCTGTCAGTCAATTCTTCACATACTTTCTGCGATACCACTTCTCTCTGAGTGATCATTTCACTCGCATCAAACTGGGCCTAGTGAGAAATACACCACCTAATTAGTTTCAATAAATTTGTTACCAATAATAGTACTATAATGAAATACTAACCTGACAAGGAGAAACAGTTAAAATTCTAGGTTTCTACAACACTTACGAACCTCTGTTAATTTTTTAAAACTTTATTTTGGCAAAATTATTGAATTAATATTTCAACACTGTATACATTCCTGTTTCTTTCTAATGAAGTGTAAGTTATCACAAGTATTATATCAATGTTGTTTCTACACATAAAAAAACAGCACTTTTACTTCACAGAAAAGAAAAAAAAAAGAGGGGATATTACAATTTTCAACAAACACTAAGAGATGGGCTGTATGAATTTTAAGAGTATGATGAACAAGCACCCTAGAGGGCTTACATAGTTTCCTATATAATGGTATAGACCTATTTCATAAGCTCCATTCAGTTGAAGTTTTAGAAATAAGATAAAGCATTAAAAAATATCATGTGGTATTAATGAATAAAAATTGTATGGAATGACTTATTTTAAAAATAATGACTGATGCATACTTCAAATTCTTAACTAATCAAAAGTGCTATGAAAATAGTACTGGTTGAAAGCATTCTGCTTACCTACGTTGTACTAGTGAGTTTGTGAAGATTGAAAATATTTTACCTTTCCATAACTACAAAAGAATATATCTTTATCCAAGCAGGTATTCTGCAGTTAGTTAGAAACATCCATTGTATGCCTAATGTGGAAAGGTCAAATACTTGTGCTAATTTCTCTACCTTAAACAAGGATTACCATAATATGCTTCTTCAACAGGCCATTTCTTTGTCATGCCTTCATTAAGTGGAACCCCACTCATTCCAAAGGGGTAGTACAAGGACTTGTACAAGTTAGAATTGGTTGAGTTCAATTCTTTATGGACTAGGGAAGTGTCACTGATATTCCCCGATTTTTCCATTCACCAAATAGCATTAAACATACCACATACTTAATAATTGATATCCAGTTTCAGCATTAAAAAAAAAATCATATAATTTGACTTATTACCTCTCTCAACAAGGACTTGGTCAATTTGACCGACTAAATGACCTCTTATTTAATACTTCTAACTTTCAACAGTGTGTATATCTTCACAAAATTTGGCAGTCTTTCAGTTAACATTATAAATTTTTCACATACAAAAAATAATATTTTTTAGTACAATATTTTTAATAAAATGAAATAAAGATTTGTCCATGAATATATTGAGTATTTGTTTTGAATATTCCGTGTGAAAATTATTTTTCATGTTAAAATTAAAAATACTTTTCCTCATCTCAAATTACCTTTGTATAATCCTATAAGCCTTTTAAATACATTTCAACGTTTTTTTTTCAGTAAAATTTTATATTTTACGTTGTTTTCACTACCCTATCTCTGTACAAGATCAGTGAAATTGAACAACTTTGTAACCACAAAAAAAAAAAAATCTAAATAAATCTAAATTACCCTTTTTTCTTTTTAGAATGACTTCAAATTGTAACATGAAACTACATTTGTTTATCCTAAGTAGCTTTAAACTCATAACAGTATACATCTATTTATAATTAAATTTTATTGCCCATTTGATTGCCCTTTGAACGTGTCAAGATTATAAATTGTAAGTCAGGGAACATGCAGCTCATGTTACACTATCGAACTGCATTACCCACAAGCTACTACAAGCAGCTTGTGTGTGTGCCTCATGAAAAATTTTGATTATATTATTAGTTATTTTACCTAAGCTAAAGAGATCCCTATTTTTACATTTTAATGACTTTTATAATAAGAAATCAAGAATAAACAAGAAATACAGTACTTACCAATCTTCTTTTTTCTTGCTGTCGATTGTCGATGACAGTTAACACTATTTTTTTTTTTATACTAATGGTAGTAATGCACTAAATTTCTATTTAATTAAATAATGCCCCAAAGAACACAGACTAATAACAGGCCAAAAGTAAACCATTTCCCCTAACTCTCAAAATGTTTTTGGCTTTTCCCATGGGAATGAAGTTTGTACTAAGAGTAAAACTGATGCTTACCTTTTCAGAACACAACGTTACACAATACGTCATTTGATAGATGAAAACCTTGACTTTTTATTGGTTATAGATGATGTATAATTAAACATAAGAGAGAACATTAACAAATTCTGAAAGAGAGGATGTGACAGGTGGGTTTCGCAGGAAGGGTCCGATTTTCTATTTGATAGCGCTGTAACAAAACTAAAGGCTATAAAAATTATGGTTTGTCTGAGCAACGACGATTATATAGTAATTTACACTTAATTTTGTACACTTTGGAGGGGTGGTGGATAAAATAGAGAGGAGAAGATACCTAGAGAAAATGTGTCCTATGGGGAAATTCAGCATTTTTTTAAATATTGCATTATAGAATTAAAAACTTAAAACTTATGTACTATTAAAATATGGATTATTAGCTAAGATTTTATGCTATACTAATTGGTATAACACAAAAAAAAAGTTGTTTAATAATATTTTGAATGTAAGACACTAAAACTTTGTGTCATGAGCAATAAAGGATACCTGCAGTGACAGGGTTAATTCTGTTTAAAAAAAAAGTAAAAATGCTTCACTTTAGAATTTCTTTTTTTTACTGCTGATCACAAGGTTCCATTTTATTTATATATCCAATAAGTTTCAGTTGGACAAATATTCATCTTTCTTTTTGGCACTATTTTGTCAATTTCAGTAGTCACCACTTACAGCTATAAATCATACAAAACATGGCAAAAACAGATTTATTGGTGACCTAAGTTTTCAAAATGGCATCCCCATTATCTTTGTCAGGCTGGTTATTGTGACTTCTGCTAACAGTACTTTTGGTCAAGATCAATTTATATGTAACAAATATACTTTCTTTTCAACAAATAAGTTGTTTTACTTACCTATGTCATTTGAATAAAACAAACTTAACAATAATAACAAATAACAATTTACATCATTTTTTAATGAAAAAACATTTACAGGAATGAAAGTAATGTCTGAAGAAAGTATAAAACATTCCTAGACTGTGGTTTGTTCCTTTGTTTTCTAAACTTACTATGAGATTCTTCTGTTCAACTAGTCAATATCTTTGAAATTATATATAATGCTCAAACCCTTTCCATTAATGTAAATATTTTATAATCTGCTCTATCCAATCATAAAACAAAACATGAATGTAATAACAGGAAGCATTTATTAGACATTTCAGAATTGTCATAATTCCATAATCAGTAATCTAGGGTTACAAAACAAACAAACAAATTTGCATTTTAGCCATTTCAAGTCATTGAATTTTTATTCAGATAAAACATTTATAAAACTAACTAAATATTTTTCTACGCAAGTTAAAACATTATTTTATTATCAATTGGATACTTAAGTGTGAACTTAAGGCCTGTAATTTTCATCATAAAATGCATTTCAGCAGCCTGCATTTAATTATCACCAGTAGGAAATTCAATACTTTTGACTTTGAGGCTTCTGCTACACTGTTCTGATATTGCTGTTGCTACCTACACAAATTTTGTGCTACCCTTCATGTAAATTTTTTCTGTATATTTTCTTCTATCACAATAAGGATATATAAATTTTCAAAATTGCATCAGTATTTAATGGCAACTTTTGCATTTGAAAATTAGAAGAAACATTTTGGAATTTCACTCACTTATTAACAGCTCAACTTTATCATACTATCCATACGTACAACCATAGAACTTATTAGTTAGCAGTGCCTGAAAAACTGTTATGTGGTTTCCTTCTGAAAATGTACTGTTAGCTTTTATATTACCCTCACCCTACATTTGGGTCCGAGTGTGTGACTGTGTTTCCATGCAAGTATCTCAAAAACTAATAGATCAATGTAAACGAAAATTTTACACAAGATGGGAAGTCAGTATGGGACAGCCCTCCCTAGATTTGGTTTGGATCCAAATTCTGGATCACCTTCAAACACCTTTTATAATGGGGGGGGGGGGAGTAGAGCATTTTCAAGGTTTTTGGGTTAATAACTTTGTAAAGTGTGATCAGACTTGTACAAAATTTCATGGGCACATTAAAGTTGAAAATCCTTATCACACCAGATAAAATTATTTGGATCATTCTGGATCTGAGCAGGATTTTTTGAGTTGTTGAAGTTGAAATTTTACATTATCCAATATAATTGCATACAGTCTCGACAAGGAACGGCAGGGGCGAGGTATGCAATCTTTCTCATTGCTCTTGTTACTAAATAGCAATATGATCATTTTTAACATATATATAGATATAGTTAAATACTCACAACCACGGCTTTCAAAATTTCATTAGTGATTGATGGTAGAACTCTTTCATCATAATCTAGACCAAGAGTAGTGTATATCTTAGGCAGGTTATCAGCTACTGGTCTGAAGAGGATTCGTAGAGTAATATTCACATTCTGCAAATCTGTGAAAATAGATAACATTTTTTAAGAAACTATAAGTTGTGAATTTCCAATCTTAGTCTCATTCCTCCTAGTGGGTGGACAATTGGTATTACAACATTCATCCCTCTGAAGTTAAAATTGAAGTGAACTGTACAATAATTAGCTGCTATTAAAAACTGAAAAGAAAAAATCCATCAATATCATTATTTTTTAAAAGATTATTTCAAACCACAAAATCCCAAATACTAGTTTTCCCATTGTTAGATATACATGACTGATTTATTTGAATTTAATAATAAAGAACGTGTAGTGGCAATTTCTAAGGTGAGTTTCACAGCCTATATTGTAATAACAGAGATAGAGGAGAATAATTTGTCTTGTCAAATGGTGTTCTAAAGTAATTGAACCCACCTGTGTGAACTTTGACAAAAAAGTGACAATCACTTAAAGCTCTGGATACAACTGTAATAACCAATAGTGTAACAACTTTTTGTACATGCATTTGACTTGTTTTGAATATATCATTTTTTAAAACAAGTAGATTGTGTGTTGTCAATTCATTGTTCAAATTTATTGCCAACAAGTCACAGACATCTACTGTACAGAATCCTGGCCCTAATAAAACCTGACACCCATTAATATTCAACTTCAAACTCTTCTTATATTTGTAAAGAAAATTCCTAAACATTCTAATTGAAATTTAATACATTATCTTCATACCTTAGATGATACGCTACCATCATACAACTCATTCCAAAAAGGCTATTACACAATTCACTTTTATGGATATAAGCTGCAAGCTTAGTACAGTAATAGTACTTGTTGCAATTATTAATTAGTTTTATATATCATACATAAAACACAGCCTTAACATGTAAAAAGTATCTCACGGCAACATTACCTTTGCTTCCAGTAATTACAGGGACATTTCTTGGCTTGGCACGAATGTCATAAATAATAGGTTTCTGGACCCATGGGATAAGAAAATGTGTGCCTTCACCAACAACGTAATTCTTCACTCCACTGAAGCGATCAAAAATAACTGCCCTATGTCCTCCATCCACTACATATTCAAAAATTAAACACTTTAATACCAATATCATGCAGTAATTACAGTAATAACTATGAAACATAAATAAATATTTGAGTGCTATGTTCTTGTTCTTCCTTTTTCTATCAAATTTGTGGCAGAGAAAAGTTATGTAAATTTAGAAAACATATCTGTGTTCAGTAGGATTTAAGACTGAATAAAAAGTTAATAATATAACCCAGGACACATGACCATGGGGGTCTAAAACATGACTGATCAAACAGAATTTTTAACAGCTAGGTAGTGAATTTTTGTTCCATTCTATTTCTACCCCTTTACTAAATCAAATACTATACTGTAAAGCTGAGAATTTTAGAAAACCCAAACAAACTGAAAATCTTATAGTACTACATAAAAGTATGTAATATATATTTTGTTGTTTTAGTATAAAGAAATAACACAAACTGTTCAGCTTAAAAAACTTACCACAAACGAATTTTAAAAGTACCTTGTTAGTACATTTTTTACCCCCAAAAAATGATTTTTCTAATTATCAAAACAATTCTTCAAATCCTACAAAAATATAAATACAAATTTACTGTGGTGAATAAAAAACAACCAAAACAACCATGCATAAAAACAATTACTGTTTCTGGCATATTCTTAATTAACAATTTAGATTTTGCCAAATATTTGTTTTTTTTTTATATTATGCATTTCAAGTAATCAAAAATTATTTAATTAGAAAAAAAAAAGAATGAAAAATTAAGAATTTATTGATTTATATTTATTTATGGGAAAATCACAAAGAAACCACAATAATTAGCTTATGATGCACATATGGACAACAGTTCTAGAAAAAAATAGAAACTGCATAAAATATAAGTTAGTGATTATAACTGGGACTCATAATTTCCGAGTCGGTCACTTTTGTTTTTATTGAAAGGGTAAAAAGTTTGTACAATTTTTTCTCCAGTTAGAATCTAAGATCAATTTCAAAGGGCCCAAGAATATTCACTGCCTGGGAGTCCAACTAGTCTCAGTCTGTCCCAGAATAAAGGTATATCTAAACAAATTTCATAAAAGAAGTTATAAAATGAAGTCCCAACTGCCACAAACCTGTTTGAAAACATTCAATTGACTTACCATTATAAAGAGCTGTATTAACTACACCTCCAGCAATAGCCAGGCCTAAACCAAGTTTACCAATGTTTGTGAAGAACTGTGCTGCCATTTTGTTCGCTACAATTCACCTAAAACCAAATATATAATAATAGAGAGAGAGAGAAAAAAAACAAAGAAATATATTAAAGTCAATAGCAATGTCAAATATGAATGTTTTAAACATCTCTGCAAAAAGGGTTTTATATATTTACAACTATTTTCCAGATTTGAATTTGTGGTTATAAAACTCTTTTAACAAAATGATCCAAAACAAACCAAACAAAATGTCTTTCAAGTAGCAAAACAACTTATTGAAATAAGACATCATTTATTTTTACCTTTCTTAGATATTTTACTCCTAATGATATTTTTTTGTAAAAACTGGATTCCCTTGCTTTTAGTTATTAGCTTTCAAAATTTTGCAGATGCAGAAGTTGGAATGGAAAGTTCCAGAACATATTTCAGAAAGTATATTTTAAGATACATAATTTTATTTACGAAACATTAGCATGATTACACAAAATAAACAGACAACTTGAGGTGCAATGAACAACAGTAACTTTAAAATTACTTACTAACAATGTTGTTGTTGTAAAACATCCGATTATGTGGAAAAGATATATAACAAATGTTAGATTTTCTCCAACAAAGTGGCAAAAAGAGTTTGAAACTATATATGTGTGTGTGTTTGCTTTCTCCAACTGAAATCTGAATTAGTAAAATTGTGTGTGGTTTATATAATTGAACAATGGGATGTTTTTCTAAGTAGTGGAATGATATCGTTGTAAACTTTAACACATGGAACAATAAATACATTCTTTAGAAATCTACATCCAGACTTGTTTCTTGTTAAACCTACTTCTCTATTAAATTTGGAAAATAATTTTTATCTGCTGACATGGAGTATGCTGTTAATTAAGATTAACTAGAACTTTTTCTGGTGGTTGTATGAAATTACCTTTATATTTAGTGCTTGTTTCAGTTGGTGATTTTTATGGCTGACCTTACTGTTACTGAACTGAATGATCTCCCGTCACCTTGTATATTCTAATGTTATATGGGTTACAAAATACACCAAAAGAAGTATACTTATTATAAACATGTAATTATTTCATTACAAAAATGTGTCTAAAAGTAATTCAACACATGGCAACTACTAATCTGTATTAACAAGAAGGAACAGAATGTTCAAGGAGCATATTCCATAGAATTTAATACTTTACACCAGAGGTGTCGCTAGATGCTGGCACAAAGGGCCCATGCCCCAAATCCCCAGTTGATGTGTTTAAATAACAGAACAGGAAACCATGATTGATATCGTACTGAAATGCCAAAAATTCCCATGCCTAATGACCTGTGCCCTGAATCTATGAAGCACCTAGCAAGTTCTCTGTTTTACACTGGTAGAAGTTTCCAGTAAATATCTCTGATTTTAACAGAATATTATCGACATTACAAATGCAGCCTTTAAAGTTCTTAGCTATGCTAGGGGGCCTTGGAATTATTGCTTCACTAATTAGTGTTATCAGAAAAATAAATTTGCATCTCAGTTAAAATATTGTGTCTTGAATTGTGATGCAATACCCTCTATTTACAGCCCTGTACAACCTAGAGTTCATTTTTTTTTCTTTGCAAGAAGAGATTTACTTCCCTTTTCTTCCTTTTAAATCTAATACCTTGCTACTTTCTAACTCTATGGTTTCCTTTTGTTGTAGGCCACATACCACAAAGAAAGAGAAGATACAACTTGAGCTAAATTTATCTTTTTATTTAAAAAAAAGGAGTTTAAAAATTCAGGGTACTAATATTAGAATGACCACTGTATTTTGAAATAGAAGGCTCACAACTATTGTATTGTAAGGGTTCAATATTATTTCATACCTAGAGTAGATATAAACCAAATATTGTGTTTTCCTATTGGCATTTCCACTAACCTTAATTTAAAAAATAGTAAGCTTAGTTATTAGGTTTTATTCAATGAGGTCCTATGTATATACAAAGATAAATAAAGAAATGCTTGAGAAAATATTAAATGTGGTCAGTGTGATGGATAAGTTTTCAAACTGGATAGTATATACGAAAGAAAAGCAAATTTAAAGTCTGAATTTTGAACTAGGCTTAACTTAAGCAAAGAAATCATGCACCGTGTCTCTTACACATACATTGACCATCTACACTGACACTAGGCATGATGACAGAAGCAAAAAATCTGTAAGAATAAGTCAAGCATTTCACTTTAGTGTTCATGTGAAACAAAATTTAGCATTTTTCATTTTCTAAATATAACATACATGTGTAAAATTTGCTTTTAAACCTTATGAATTGAATACTTAACCTTGCAAAACATGCTTTTAAAGTTTCTATGAATATTTCTTCTCAAGTGTGACAAAATAGTTACAAATCAGAGCTTTTTCCCACTGAAATAATACTGTAATTAAGTCAGTTATCTGATAAGTAACACTTAACAAGGTGAGACATAGCATTTTAAATTTAATTTTTAGTAAAGATAGTTATAATAGCATTTAGAAACTAATTTTGTAAGATAAAGAACCTCCTTGTGAGAACTTTCCAGAGATCTGACTGTTCAAAGTTGCAATGCTTTATTTGAAATAACACTCATAGAAGTAATTCATTGAAACCTGTTGTACCTTACAAAAAACATTCCATTACTACATAGGAATTTGTTATCCTGATGATTAGTATATTAAAACAACTGTAACCTGTAAAAGTTATATGATTACATCATAATTTTCTAGATCTTACAAGTACACAATTAATGAATGAATTGGTTGACAAGTTTTATCATGTTACAATGGTAGAAGAAGAAAAAAAAAAAAGGTGAATTTTCTCTCCTTAAAAACATATGCTTTTGTGTTACATTTTTAGTCTTCAGGTAAATGATGTAAAACCTTACTAATGTAAAAGACACTAGCCTCCAGTCATACGCATGAAGTTTTTGCTCAAATTTCTGAAATCCTAAGTCATTACTAAATATGAGAACCAAACATTTTCACTGATGAGTGGGACTACGGTATATGACTGAGATTTCTGACAGTTTGGAATCTGTAAATCTAGATGATTCTCAAAACATTTCCAACTTGTAAGATAAGAGGATACAAGACCATTATATAAGAAATTTGGACACAATATCACCACTTAAGACAGTGTTACTTTTCTAATAATGTAGTTGGCTAATGGTATAATTTGCCTTCATTTAGGTTAGAAGCTGCAACACTTAAGCCTTAAGGTGCTTTATGAGGAGAATGAATAAATATCTTAGTGAACATTGGATATAAAATTACACGAAAAGGGTTTTTTTAATTTTATATAGTTTGGAGTAGGGCAGCGATAGAAAATGGAATAACCTAGTTGGGCCAAATGGCCTTTTATCATCCTTTGATATTTAAAAGTTTAAAAATACATTTTCAGTTTCACCTAAACATAATGATCAATGATTCCAGTATATACTCTAATATATAACTTGAATACCAGTGCCTATTAAATGCAACGTACTTTGTTTCGTGCGCTATCTGTCCTCAAAATGTAATCGCTATCTTATCGCACTCTGTAATATTTGACTGGGGAATCTACACTCTAATATATATATATATATATATATGTATGTATGCGCGTCATGCTGATTACGACAATTGGGTCCTTTGATTACTCTAGTCTAAGCTTTTGAAAAGCCCAAAATATAGCAGTATAGTACATTTTATTTCGTAGATGAAAATATGCTCACTTTATATAAATATATTTTCTAAACTTCTACTACTTTAAGTTTAACTGCAGTGCAACTGCAAGCGTTGATGGTTAGTCCTAAGATTCGATTTCGAGATTAAAACATAACGAAACCTGTGAATTTCGCAGTTAGCCTATCATGAAGAACAAAATTATCATGTAGATAAAATTGTTCTTAAAATTTAAGACAGCAAAATATAACAATAATTTACATATAAACAAAAACTTACAATTACACAAAAGTCCTTAGATAGATACACAAAAATCAGCTCACAAGTTACACTAGTCTCACTATATAAATCTCAACACGTGAGATAACTTATGTTTTATACTTTCAGTAGATGGCAGAGCAGTCAGCAGTATAGATTAAAATATATTTATATTTTTTTGCGAATTGTTCTCAAATTTTTATTGAAAGTATATGGTTTATTTTGTGCTTAGTATAAAATAGAGAAAATTATGAAATAAAGCTTTATATATGGTTCTGAAAAACATATATGATGAATTATACTTCAAAATTATTATTTTTTAAATGAGACAAGTGTTCATAATCGTCACATGTATATATATATATATATATATATATATAGACATACATAAGGGCCTAGCATGGCGTGGTGATTAGGGCGCTCGATTTACAATTTGTGAGTCACGGGCTCATATCCCTGTCATCGAATATGCTCGCTCTTTCACTTGTAGGTACGTTATAATGTGACAGTCAATCCCACTACTCCTTGGTAAAAGAGTAGCCCAAAACTTAGCGGTAAATAGTACCTGCCCTGTATTCTTTCACTGCTAACTTAGGGACGGCTACCCTGAGAGGAGGCGGCCGCCACCAGGTAAAATCTGTCTGAGCATCAACAATGATTGAACAACCTCAGTATAATTACTAATATAAAAATACAGTGAATATTGTTAGGAAATTATAAAACATTCAATTTAAAAAAGTGAAATAACTATTTGAATAAAGCAAGGTGGAACGAGTTTGAATTTCTATTGAGGCTTGGATTTTGGTTCATAATATGTAGACTTTCTTTTATCAACAGATCGTCTGCATATTATGAACAAAAATCCAAGCCTCAATATAAATTCAAACTCGTTCCCCCTTGCTTTATACAAATAGTTCTTTCTCCCTTCTTTTTAATTGAACGTTTTATAATTTCCTAACAATATTCATTGCCTTTTTATGTTAGTAATTATACTAAAGGGTGTTCAATTTGTTATTTTGATAGATTTTCTGAAGATGGAATATATTTAATTCCTAAACATTTATTAAATATGTTTACAATTGTTGCCGTGGCTCTACTGTTCATTATCAGACTTTATTTTCGACCAAATGTATTGTTACGTTTCCGTTTTTTAATTAACTTATTTTCCGTAACTTCGTACCGACGAAACTTACGCGACACAAGC